TAAAAATATTTATTTTATAATTTAACCAAAAATATACACTGGAAATGTATATTTGAATGAAAAGGCAAACCACAGATTGGGAGAAAATATTTGTAAGACATATATATAACAAAGCATGTGTGTCTAGAATATACTAGAGTAAGTCTGACTACTCAATATTAAAAGACAAACAGCTCAGTTAAAAAATGGATAAAAGCCGAAACCGGTTTGAGCACAAAAAATTATGTTAATAGCATTAGTTGTTCAGGAAATTAAAAATGAAACTATAATATACCATTGCACAGCCACTGAAATGGGTAATCTTTTAAAAACTAACCACTCCGGTTTGGCTCAGTGGATAGAAGCGTCAGCCTGCAGACTGAAAGGTCCCAGGTTCGATTCCGGTCAAGGGCATGTACCTTGGTTGCGGGCACATCCCCAGTGGGGGGTGTCCAAGAGGCAGCTGGTCGATGTTTCTCTCTCATCGACGTTTCTAACTCTCTGTCCCTCTCAATTCCTCTCTGCGTAAAATCAATAAAATATATTTAAAAAAATAATAATAAAATAAAAAACTAACCACTCCAAAGGTGACGATGATGTTAAGTAACATTCTAGATGTGCAAAGTGGAACAGACAAGTTGACAGTTTCTTCTGAACACACCAGTGATACAGAAATTGCATTCTTAGGTGTCTATCTAACATAACTGAGACTGTATGTTCACACAGATTTATACTGCAATATTCACAGGTGCTTTTTTAGTAATAACCCCCGATTTCAAAGAACCCAACTGTCTGTCTACTGGTGACTGGGTAGACCCACATTAAGATATAGCCACTTAATGCTGTAAAGCCACAGAAAGAAACTAGTGATATATACAACAATATTTATTAGTTTAAAACGTATTATGCCAAGTGAAAAAGATGAAGAACACAAATGACTACAAACTGCTTGGGGATTATACTTTCTAATATTTAAATGCTAGAGGCCCAGTGCATGAAATTCATGTATGCGGTTGGAGGTCCCTCAGCCCGGCCTGCACCTCCTCCAATTTGGAACCCCTTGGGGGATGTCTGACTGCCAGGTTAGGCCCGATCTCACAGGCCTAAACCGGCAGTCGGTCATCCCTCTCGCAATCCGAGACCGGTGGCTCCTAACTGCTCACCTGCCTGCCTAATCGTCACTAACCACTCTGAATTCCAGTCTGATGCCCCTGACTGCTTCCCTGCCAGCCTGATCACCCCTAACTGCCCTCCCCGGCTAGCCTGATTGCCCTTAACTGCCTCTGTTTTGGCTCCCACCACTGTGGCTTTGTCCAGAAGATACCTAGTCTAATTAGCACATTACCCTTTTATTAGTACAGATGTTATGATCCATTGTCCTGCCTTTTCTCTTCATGGTCCCCAATTATATTCCACTGTACCTTCTGTGCAACGCTCACTCTAAGGTAATTGGCCTTGGTGTAAGAAGCAGTTTGACTCCCCTGAGATTTCCCTGCTGTGCCCTAACCACATGGAGAGGAATAACAGAAATAAACATATGCCTAGTTATCTCCTGTAGTTCTGCTTACCTTATCTGATATCCTAGATATGAAAACCAGCATCTTTGGAATATAAAAGTATACATTAAAATATTCCCAACTTTATTTGGCCTTGAACTTTATATGAAAATGTCAATATTAGAATGCAACCTTAACTTGGGAATTTTTGAGAAAGGTTTGGGAAAAAGCAATAAGAATTCTGATATAGCCTTCACAGTATAATAACTAAAATAGTTGGCAAAGAAATTAGCTTGTCAGACTCCTGACAATAAAGTTATTTATATATCTATAAACTTAGTAAAATATAAAAAAAAAATCAACACTATGAATATGAAATGATACTTTTAATTCAAAAACCACCCAAATCACAGCTCCATAAATTAGTAACTAGAACCAGAATGCCGACTGCCAGCACTTCTGCCTTATGCACATTTAAAACGAGAGGATTCTGGTTCACGGCAGACAGGATGCCAGCCCAATAATGAGAATCCGAAGGAAGCAGGAGAGGAGCTCAAGACGGGCATGAAACCGAAAGGCACAGGCACAAAATAAAACGGATTTTTATCAAATAAATTCATACTGTCAAATGAACACAGTATGGACAAGAATGGTAAATGAGTGAACGCGTTAGGATCATTTGTATCCACATCAAGAATATAGACAGAATGTGAAGAACTTATCAGATGAGTAACATTTCTACGTAATGATTTTCCTTTACCTCCTAAGAGTCTCTTCACTTCCAAGAGATCTCAGCTTGAGAGCGAGCCACAGAGGCCCGCCGTGCAGGCCCATGAGCAATGCAGCCAGAGGCGGGTGCTGCGGCCCAGTCCTACGAGGAGCCGCTCTAAACCCAACTAAACAAGGACCACGCCTCAGTCGGCTTTCAGTTTATGTTCTCCTTCCTCCCCCCACACCCCACCCCGGATATTTTTCTGCTCATGTGAACTTGGTAATACCCAAGCTACAAGAAGAGCAAGGACTGGCCACGCCAGCAGCAGTGTGGATATCAGGGTTCTATTCAATACGAATGCTGGCGTACTGCCCGCTGAGGCTGCACTACACTCGCTTTCATAGCCTGGATCTGCTGGGCCCCACGCCACCCTGTCCGTGCTGTGCTTCAGCCCAAGGGCACACCGTGGAGCAGCCTGGGAAGAAGGAAGAGCCCCTGGCACTCCGCTTAGGAGCGAGTGGATGTGAAACCCAATGAAGACTGTCCGTGGTCACCCCGCAGGGCGTACTACACCAAGCACGTCAAACTCAAAGGCTAACACGGACCAAATAAACGAGGCATGCGGCCCGCCAGCAGCGAGTTTGACATGCTCGTACTACACCCTTCTAACATACTCGCCCTAATCGCTAAGGCTTCTCTCATCCACCTCCTTCTGCCTGGGATCCTCAGGCTTCTCCAGCTCTTGCTGAGCCGATTTCTCTGAATTCATATGACTTAAATGCAATTAGGATGGGACTCTATTATACTGACAGGCCTACAAGTCAGTATATGTTTGATTTTTTTCACAACCAGTATTTATTCAGAATCCACATATATCAAGATTATTTATGCCCTGCTAATGTGGCTCAGTAGTTGAGCATCAACCTATGAACCAGGAGGTTATGGTTCATTCCAGGTCAGGGCACGTGTCCGGGTTACAGGCTCGATCCCTAATCAAAGTGTGTGTGTGTGTGGGGGGAGGGGGGGTGTGGAGGGGGTGGAGGTGCAGGAGGCAGCCAATCAATGATTCTCTCTCATCACTGGTATTCCTATCTTTTTCTCCTCCCTTCCTCTCTGAAATGATCAATAAAAATTTATCTTTAAAAAGCTCATTGAGTGCTTTAAACAATACTGGCAAACACGGTGATAATATCAAGCATGACCTAATGCATGCTAATCTCCTGTGCAGTACATGAGGCTGAAAGAAGTCCACATATTCCCAACAGGTGAAGAAAGTGCAAGAAAAGAAATGTCTCAACTGTTGTGTTTATATTTCAAGATAAATTCAGAACACAGACTGAAAGGAAGCTATTGCTAGTTAAAGGTCAACAGACAACAAGTATTAGTTGAGTGAAAACTAGGCTAGTTATAATTACTCCACTGGGCCCATTAGAGAAGCCTAGCTCGGGCCAGGACAATGTTCTCCCGCTCAGACCTCTGCGTCTCATACTCATGCTCCCCACTGGGTGAACCTATGGGTGCTGCTGTGGGTTGTGTGTGTGAGTTCATAGCTCCCCTCACTTCTAGTTCAGTCTTATTTCAAATGCCTAAGCACTCTGGTTAGTATTTTCCTACAGCAAACGAGTTGTTTTCTGCATTTCCAGGACGCTCCCTGGGCAGAAAGAATGACAAGGTGAACCGAAAGCAAAACCAAAAGTAAATCAATCGCATGGGTTTTCCCAGCAGGTTCCCTTCCCAGAAACAATGCATTTAAGAACCGAAATCACCCCATTAAGTTCCACCAATTAAATAACTGTCTGTTTATGAAGTACACTTAAAATATGTAAGTACATCTGATAACCTGAAAGAATTGGGAGATTACATACACAAACTTCCATTTTTGCTAAAATTGTATAAAAATAATTATTTTCAATTATATATATATATATATCTTTCTCTTATGGGTTTATTTGCACTGAGGTCTTCCACTATGTCTTCTAATTTGTAACAGACTTAAAAGGTAAATGATGAACTCCTTCGTAGAAAGATCAGTGTCTTAAAACATGGTGAACTCACGCTGCCTACACACTGCAAATGTGCACACCAAAAAATCAAATTTTGCCATGAACTCATTCCTGCAATAATTTATAGAAGGAAAGATTCTATACAGGATTTAAATTTATTTTGGAAAATAAGACTTTTAAGGTCGATGAGATAAACTTACTTCAGAAAGCCCTCAATGTGAAACATTTCCAATGAACTATTTTGGTAAATTATATTTTCCCCTCACATTGACTCTGATCAAAATAGGGAGGAGAAAGGATGAGGACTAAGGGAACAGGTGAAATATACTACTAATTGGATTTCTCTTTAAAACTGCAAAGACCCCTTAAAATCTCTAAATAAAGTCACAGTTACTCTGACTGCTACACAGAAAAAGGGAAAACTCAGTCCCCATGAGTCCTAGAATCTTTTACTCCACTGAGTTTACAACAAGTAAAATAGTGCATTGCAATTTTCACAAAAACCTAAGAACTTCGTAAAGCATCATAAACCCTACATTTCTAACTTTCACAATTAAATGATTTCATGATTTTACTTTTGAGAGTTTTTTTTTTACACTTGAAAAATATAGAAAAATGTAGAATATGATTACATTGGCCAATATATGAGAGGAGTTATTAAAAATATAAACAATCATTACATTTCATTAGGAATTACTTTGATCCCATCTACTGAATAGAAAGAGCTCCTCCAAGCCCTCCCACGAAGCCGAGAGCCGTGATGTTACGACTTATATTTTAATATCTTTGTAAAACGGCCGACAGAATTACCATGCAAATGCGGTGCTGGGTTGCCCGGTCACTCACCTCGCCCCCATTGACATATTCCATCACAAAACACAAACGGTCTTTTGTCTGGAAGGAATATTTCAAGGACTTGAAATAAAAAAAGAAAACATGTTATGTTATAATCCCACATTGTCACAATGGCACCAAAACAGCACACTCAGAAGCAGCAAGCGGGACTGATGGAATGGATGGCTCTCGTTCCCTGCGAGTCTATCTGCCCCTGCAGGGCGCTTAAGGTGGGGCTTGTGAGAAGCGGAAGACAAACGATGCCTCGCTCGGCAATGGGCATTGCAAGGGGAAAATGAACACTTGAAGGAAAAATTAACTCAGAAACTGCGATGCGCACTTCTCAATGGAGGTGCCATCTATTCCGTACTGCGGGGGGTCCCCAGAGCTCTTATCCATGAGATGGCAGAGCGAGGCCCACAAATTCCGCTAGGGGAGGCCTAAGGCAGTGACAGTGGTTATATGTGAGGATCTCATCATGACAACATAACTTTTTGCAAATAGGGGACTTAACATCTCCTAATTCAATGGAGTTGGTTCATGTCATTTCATGGGTCATAGAGACAGCAGAACTATCTTAATACACCAGACAAAAAGCACACAACAATGTGGCATTAAGCCCACATATCTGGTGATACCTGTGGAATTCCTACATGAGGCAATCCTAAATCTTTTCAAGACCCTTTAAGATCTCTTAAATTCAGTCAAGGTTACTCTGAAGAGAAACCTCAGCTACAATGTGTACCCCTATGGCTTATCCTTCCAATGAGCTGACGATGAATAAAATCATTCCTCCTGTGGAAGTCTAGCTGGTACTTTTCATCTTAATGTACTTCCCTGAAACCGGAACTCTAAGCAGCTTTGCAGATTGTGCCTCAATTACAATCAATCAAGGAACAGACTAAAAAAAAAAATTGGTTTGCTTCATAATCCACAGTTTATACTTCGTCTAAAGGAATAGCATGCCTGATCTGCAGTTAATGTCATGTGCTCAGCATTCCTGTGTTTCTGAAAGTCCTCTCGCACTGAAAGAAGTCTCCATGTCTACAGAAAATGTCCAGCCAAGATCTCTGCCTTTCACATGTGAGGACAATGTTGCCTGATCATGTGTATATTTATAATAAACCAAAGCAGCACAAAACCCTTACATGTACTGCTAATCTCTTCAGCCTGCCCCTTTTTAAGTCCACTATTTTCTCAGTGGGCTCCTTAACATGCCCTCGGAGATGTGTGGGCTGTGTGAGTTATCTGTATTCAAGGCAGTGAAATTCACAGTAGGAAAAAAAATATCCTGAAAGTGATGGGAGGGACTACGGATGCATGCATATTGCAAATTCAACCCTTACGTTCTGGTAACTTCCAAGAAATCCGACTTGCGGTCTTCCCACTCAGAGGAGGGCGTACCTCAGTGACTGGTTCTGACAATGTCCTGTTCCCTAGCTTAGTGCTGTCAGACCCCCTCTCATCTGAAAAGCTGTGGTGACCGCGCCTGCCCGCAGGTCACTTACTGTCAGGAAGGGGTGCCTCGTGTTCTTCAGGACTCTGCTCTCGGTGAGGGTGTGTGCCACCTCGTCCTGCAAGACAAATAGCCCCTTTAGTGCCAGTGCTGAGACCACAGAAACTGCACCACTCCCGAGGCCAAGAGAGGCAAAACCTAGAGACGGAAAAAGGCTTTATTCATTCATTATTATTATTGTTGTTGTTATTTGAATCCTCACCCCAGAATATTTTTCCCATTAATTTTTAGAGAGTAGAAGACAGAAAAACAGAAATATTGATGTGAATTGGTTGCCTGTTGCATGGGCACTGACCAGGGCCTGGGAGGAGCCTACAAATGAGGCGGCATGCCCTTGACCGGAATCGAACCCAGGACCCTTCTGTCTGCAGGCCGACGCTCTACCCACTTAGGCAAACTGTCTAGGGCTGGAAAAGGTTTTATAACACAGTGACATGCTTGCTCCCAGTTGCCAAACTAGCTTCTCACTGTTCCCTGATTTCTATTTCTAATCTCTTTCAGTGTTTCCCAAACTTTTGACATATGTGTGCCCCTTCTATAATTTTCGTAATGCTGAGTATCCTTCATACTCATGAGAATGTAGAATTAGGCGCAGCTAAGCACAGTGCAGTGCGTACCCCCACCAAACTCTTCCAGTACCCCTGGGGGTATGTGTACCACACTTTGGGAAACACTGTGTGTGTGTGTGTGTGTGTTTTTTACCTGGATGGAGCAAATGAAAGCACAGTCATTCTCTGCTTTCCATAAACATACACTAGTAGTCAGTCACCTTTCCCATGTGTTGTTACTGGAATCTTTGTTCTTTTTAAAATACATATATATTTATTGATTTCAGAGAGAAAGGGAGAGGGAGAGAGACATAGACGCATCAATGATGAGAGAGAATCATGGGTCAGCTGCCTCCTGCACGCCCCCCACTGGAGATGGAACCCGCACCCCGGGCATGTGCCCTTACGGGGAATCGAACAGTGACCTCCTGGTTCATTGGTCGATGCTCAACCACTGAGCCACGCCGGCTGACTGGAATCTTTGTTTGTGAGGCTCCTGTTCCAATGGGACTTGGATGAAATGGGACATGAACTCCTAGGGCTTCAGCGGTGACACAATCCCTTCGGAAGCTAGGCTTACTCACTCTGGAGAGCATGCTGCTTGCATACGCTGTGAAAAGTCCTGCATTGTCTACACTGCCCCTCATTTCATTCCAGTCTTTCCTTCTGTCCCTCCCAATTTCTAGTTCTGGGACAGACCAATCTCTCATGCTCACCTTTCTATGCTACATCAGAAGGGGCGGGGGGTGGGGGGGGTCACAGACAGAACAAAAGAGCCATTATGATCCCCCTCCAAGCTCAGCTGAACCCCGGAGGATTCTGACTCACTGCTACGGTGTCACCTTCCATCCGGTACACGGTTGTTCCAAACCTTTCTCGGGCAGCCTACGTGCCTTGCACAAGCGCTGAGATGCGCAAACAGCCCTGCCAGGCCCCCTAGTCAGTGCCGCGCCGGGGCTGGGGCCTGCCCAGGTTGTCTGATCTCAAGTTGTCTCTCTCCATCTCATCCTCACTCCCTCACACTTTCAAAGGCCAGCTTGCTTCCTCCTCAGGACGGGAGTCCTTAATAACACGTGGTCCATCACTCTCGTCTGGAAACCCGGCGTCCAGGGCATCGTATGTATGAAGAATGAGGGGAACAGAAACCTGCCTATAATAGACCTCGGCGATAGTTGCAGTAGACAAGATCCACGGGGAGAGGGTTAATAGTGGGCAACGTTTTAAGAAGAGAAAAGGACATGTGTGCAGTCACAGAGCATTTCCTCTAAGACAGCTGTTAATTAAAAAGGGAGAAATCGGAGCGTCACCATGGCTGAACCGGCAGACACCCGGTTACCAGGTGACCAGTGAGATGTCCGCGGGAGAGAGGCAGACGCACTTCATTCATCCCCGAGATGATGCCGAGAGGGCGGGCGCCTCGGGATCCGCACCCCGGTCTTGTCAGTCTCGAAAATGTCACATTGCTAACCACTTCGCTACGAAGAAGCCCGTTTGCCTTCAAGGAACTGATAAATGAACTTGTTGGGGAAAGCAGCGAGGATCTACAGCAATCGGGAGAGTCTATCATTTGTGAAATGCACCCGGCTTTGCGCGGCTCCTCAGAAAAGTGTAATTAATTAGTGAGGTAAGACAGAATCCAAGTGAGGCTTATGGAAGAAAGGAAAAAGCAGAATGGAGATGACATTTGCTCATGCATGAGACACAGCAGGCGGCACTCAAAATCATCAGAGCAAATATGTAACAATAATATATTTATTTTCATTTAATGCGATTTTAATTTTATTCAATCTATAACTAAATTTATTCAATAATGATGGCAGGTGCTATTCCATTTATTTAAAAAATATATTTTATTTTATTTTTTACAGAGAGGAAGGGAAAAGGATAGAGAGTTAGAAACATCGAATAGAGAGAAATATTGATCAGCTGCCTCCTGCACACCTCCTATTGGGGATGTGCCTGAAACCAAGGTACATGCCCTTGACCGGAATCAAACCTGAGACCCTTCAGTCCACAGGCTGGCACTCTAGCCACTGAGCCATACCGGCCAGGGCCCATTTCTTTATTCATTCATTGGATCCTGACACAGCCTTATGAGGGGGACACGATTAGTACCCTCATTTTTCAGGTGAGAAAACCAAGGCAACAAAGAGCTGAATAATTAGTTTGGGATCGTTTAGCAATGAGTAGCAGAGCCTACAGGAAATACCAGTGTAATTACCATACGTGTCAGGTGTTATGCTGAATCCTTTACGTACTCCATTCGACATCACATTCTTGTCCAGGAGCTCCGTTTCCCACAAATGGAAGTTTTACAATTGGACAAACCGCGATTCTCCTGGGCAGCTCCACTCGCTGCGAGCTGTTTAGTTAGCATGCTTGGCCTCTACCTGACCTCAGTCAGCCTTTTCCTTCCGAGTCATCGTGATAAGCATATATAACCCCCCAAACCCCAAATACCCCAAATACTGTCAAATGTCCCCAAAGGATGGTACTGCCCCAAAACTGCTTGGGGAAGGTCATTAGGTGATAATATGCAAAGCGAGGTTACAATCCTAGGCCCCTCTGCATCTTTCCCCCACCAGCACTGACTACAAAGAAGCCAAGGTTGAAACAAACCTACAAAACACGGAAGTGTAACTCACAAAGTGGGCGGAGCAATTCGCTCCAGACAGGAAATACTGTAACGGAAAGCTAAAGTCGTCTACACAGGTAGGTCACTGTTGAATTAAGCAAGACAACGCTTGGACCAACTTATAAAGTAGATCAAATTTGCTTTTTTGAGGGAACTGGGGTTTAATTTAGAACCCTGAGAACTGGCATCATTAGCCTTTTCATTATTTGCAGAGGTGAACGAAGTTATGAGAAGGTGTTAGGCCTCCTGAAAAAATGTCAAAAACTATTTCTTTTAATTTCATTATTCTCGTATTTTCAAATTTATTAAGGCTGCTTTTCCATTCAACAGATATAAGCTGTATAATTTATGAGTACAAATCATCTGTTATTCTAATCCCTCTGATTCAAGAAGAAATTCAGAATGTTGGGGGAAAATAAAAAGCAGCATTAGTGCAATTATTAATCTAGGTCACAAAAAGATAGCAAAAACATTCTCCCGAACACACAGAGGATAAATATTTCTATCTCCTCAAGGTAATAAAATAGCTTCAGTATATAATATTTAGATAACACTATAAATGTTTGAAAGTTTTAATGTTACAAATATTAAGATAATAGATGTTGTTAACAGTAGCCTACAACCAACAACTTGGTCAGTGAATAGAATTTCAACACTTATCATGCATATGTGTGAAGACACACACGTGTGTACAGTGTAAACAAAACTTTCTGTTACCTTTGCAATAATAACTTCTTTCTTCAGAATCTTCATAGCATAATACTTGCCACTCGCCTTCTCTCGAACCAAAATAACTTTCCCAAAAGTGCCTTTACCTAGTAGCTTCAAATAGTCAAAATCATTCATTGTCTAGAAAATACAAATGAAAAAAATACATGAAATATTTGATGCAACTTATTCGTAAATATGCACTCAAAGGCAAATTCTACCAAGAGCTCTCTGAAATGAGTACGAATCAGATGGCACTGGCTGTCTCATCAGCAGTCACAGATGCTGGAAATCACTGAAGCAATTCTCAGAGACTCGAGACAAATACTTTTGAACCTAGAATTCCTCAGCTACTCAAATTTTTAGTCAAAGAAAACTCCTAGCCCACATGGTTTTGCTGGTGAATTGTATAAACATTTAAGGAAGAAATAATAGCATTTGGGTACAAGCGCCTACGGAAAACGGAAAAGGACAGAATATTTCCCAATAAGTGGTAACCATTACCCTGATATCAAAACCAGACAAGAACATTATCAGAAAAACTACAAGCCAATCAATACCCTGTATGTAAATACATGTAAAAATTCTAAATATTTTACAAATGAATGCTTCTGTTCATTTTCAAGATTATACGCTACCCACAGTTTTTCCAAATGTCAAGTTATAACATGGTAAGCGTTCAATGCTATCTCTAGTTCAAAAGAAAAGCAGCAAGAGACATCAGGGAAATAATAAAGTCCATTTGTTAATTCAACTAAAAATCAAACAAACGGGACTAAATATACAGAATATTTACTGCCCCTCCTCCCTGATGCACATGTCACCCATTCCCATTAAAAGGCGGGGTCATGCGCGGAGACTGGTTTGGCTCAATGGATAGAGCGTCGGCTTGGGGATTGAAGGGTCCCGGGTTCGATTCCGGTCAAGGGCATGTACCTTGGTTGAGGCATATCCCCTGTAGGGGGTGTGCAAGAGGCAGCTGATCGATGACTCTCTCTCATTGATGTTTCTAATTCTCTATCTCTCTCCCTTCCTCTCTGTACAAAATCAATAAAATATATTAAAAAATAAAAATAAAAGGCGGGGTCACCCTTCCCTCTGCCTGGGCTGGCACTGGGTCCAGCGTGAACACAGAGGAGACTCAGAGCCACACTGGGCCAGGCCCAGACCCAGCCGCTCAGCCTGTCCGCTCAGGCGTGGGCAGCCCAGCTTGTGGCTGGAGGAAGACGTGTAGAGAGACCCTGGAATGCAGAGAGGTCGCGTGAGGGGGACCCAGAACCCAGACCCATGAGAACGGCTCTCTGGCATCCTCCAGCCCAGCCCACTGCCAGTGGAATGCAGAGGCCTGAGCAACAGGCTGGTGGCCAGCAGAATGGCCCACCAAACCTGGAAAGCGTGAGAAATGACACGCGGGGGTTGTTTTAAGATGTTAAACTTGGGTTGTTGGTGCGATGCAAGAAGGTAAATGGAAAATGATACTTGCTGTATCCTATTACTTAATGCCATATAAGCTGGAACTGAACTCATAGGGGTAAAATCAAAGAAGAATTTTTAAACGGCTTTCTGACATTCTCAGATGAAGAGTAATATGTAATTGTAAAGCATTACTATATTCCTTGAGGATGCGATTCTTAGGAACGAGGGGGGGTTTTCAAAAGGATGACAGTCCTAACTCTCAATTTCACAGCTTCTGCCAGTTAATCTGTCAATCTCTTAAAAAAGGAATTTGCATGGAAACTGATATTAGTAAAAAAAAAAAAAATAAAAAAAAAAAAATTCTATGTGATAAAATCAGAAGCAGATTTCATATCTATTTTGACAAAACTTCAGAACATTTGAAAGTATCTCTGAAACCAAATGCTCGTGTTCAGCGTGGTAGACACAGTAATTATCTAGTCTTTACAAATGAAGTGTAATCTATCACAAAATGTTTTCTTCTTTTGGATGGTGTTCAAGTTACACTAAGATTTCATTAAACAATGAGAGCATGGTTACTCCCCAGAAAAATTAATTCCTCAAAACCCAATTCTAAGATTTGGTAGGTAAACATTTTATATAGAAATACTCTTTACATCATCTCTAACGTAACAATGTGGCTGCTTTAGGCGAAGACTTATAACAAATGTCTAATAAATGTATTTAAATCACAGATACTAGAATTTAAGAAAGACTGCCTAGTCCAGAAATGTGGTTAAAATATGAATATATAAATTGAGGAGGAATACACGGAATCACTCAGAAAAGGACACAGAAGTGCCCGCCTCTGCTGCCCGCCTCGTTCTCTCTCTCAGGGAAGGGAAAGCTCTAGTCTGACCAATTTCTACAACAACGACTAGGCCAGGAATGAGAGATCACATGACCTCAGCAGGTCCCACCATCTCTTCTCTCGCTCTCCAAACGCTAACCATAGCTTTGAGTTACTGTAGCCAGGCATCTATATGTATAAAAAGCCATCAATCAGAACACCATAATGACCAAAACAACCAGTTGCTATGACGCCCACTACGGCCAGCGAACTAGCCCAATTGGGGGGCGGGGCACCTCCCCCTGGCAGGCCCTGACCCTGATTGCCCTCTCCCACCCTGACAGAGGGCAAGGAGGCCTGCCAACCCTCCTGCGACCCTTCCCCACCAGCCAGCCCCACCCTCGATTATCCCGCCCACCCCATTGGTCTGCAGCCTCTTCCACAGGCTGGCCCTGCCCCTGATCACCCCCGATTGGGGTTGGAACAGTTGGACCCCACCTGTGCACAAATTCATGCACTGGACCGTATAAGATAATAGGCTGCCATTTTTTGTAAATTGCCATTTTAGCGTATTTCTTCCATACTCATGCACGTGCCCAGCAGAGGAGTCTGTCATTGTTTCCTACCTTTCTTTTATGATGGGTTGCAGAAGCATCCATCTCCTCCTCCCCTATATTGTCGATCTGTGAGGTTGGACTGCAACAACTCATCCTCTCCTCCTCTTGCCTCTGGAGTCTGTCTGCTACGGCCTGAATAGCTTCCGTCCATTCTTCCCTACAGATCAAGTGCAAATTCTCATGAACAGAAAATGGTAACTGGTTCAAATATTTCCCTTTTATATGAAATATACACAAATAAAGTCTCCTCCACAATAACACACACACGCTCACGAACATATTCTCCCACGCTTACTCCGGTGTGGAATTAATCCCATTGATTTTTTTTTAAGTCACTCATCTATTATATCAGTATAATCATACTTAAGGGGCTACGGCGTTTTACAAAGATATTTACATGTATTTACAAATGGTGAGGTCAGGCACACGGGTTTTTAGATTGACCGGCGCTTTTACACAAAATAGAAAAAGAAAAAAAAAAATGGCTTTCTTACCTTTCCTCTGGGGTATCTACATGAAACGTTCTCTCTATAACAGTCGTCCACTGGAGACATCTGATAATAAATGTGTTTGGCTTTGGTCGTTCTGTTTTCATTAACTGGCATTCTAGTGATAAAATAAAACGTCTCTTTGAATATACTCACATTTAAATCAGGAAACAAACAAACTGTAGAGTTCTATTCTCCACACAGCATCCCAGGACCGCACGGCTTTTCCCAGACACGTCCTGCTGCTCCTTCCTGTATCCATGCTCTGCTATCTGGGATGCTGTCCATTCCTTTGACCCCGATCCATATGTGACCATCAGCTGTCGAAAGGACACCTGTCCTCGAAGGTGAAGATCAAAGCCACCTTCTCCCATGAAGCTTTTTCTGAATCCCTCCACCCCCTCTAGTCTCAGAACTTACTACTGGCCCCCTCATTTTTCATTCAGCTTAGACTATCCTATAATATAATCATTTTAAGAAGGCATCATTATCCCTCCACCTAGGTTTTTGATAGTACATACCATACCACCTGTAAGTTTTTAAAAATATGTTTTTATTGATTTCAGAGAGAATGAGAGAGGGAGGGAGGGAGGGAGGGTAGGAGAGACAGAGAGGAACTTCAATGATGAGAAGCATCAATCGGATGCCTCCTGCATGTCCCCACTGGGGACCGAGCCTGCCACCCAGTCCTGTGCCTTGACCGGGACTCAAACCATGATCCCCTGGTAGATGGGTCGACGCTCACTCACTGAGCTACACTGGCCAAGCCACCTGTAACTCTTATTAATCACAGCCAGTCAGCCACCACGTGATCAAATCTGTCAGGAACATCTAGGAAGACTTCCAAGCCAAGGACAAAAGCGCAGTGGCTAAAAGATGGGTTCTAACCCCACGGTGCCCTGATCCAGTTTTTTCCCTACCATGAACGATGAATCCTGCAAGTGAATTAAGAATTAAGGCCTCTGGTCTTCAAACATTAAATGAGAAACAGTAAGAGGACCTGTATCATAGAACTAGCATGGGGAGAAAGAGCAAATCGCTGCAATTGTCAGCACTGTGTGTGACACAGCAAGGTTTCAATGTTAGCTTTAGGACTGAATATGAGGTTCAGAAAAATGCCTTTAAACCATCAGGCATCATCTGTCCAAGTTACATCCCTCTTGAAAAGATGTTTCCACACCTTCCCTCTTCCACACCTTCCCCTCCCTGAGCCCCGCCCCCTCCCTCGGTGACACTCTTCTCCTACTAAGAGGTCAGGGTCATTGTCACCGGGTAACATATTTGAGGAGGGAGAGGCCCCTGCCCCATGTGTCTGTTCTGCTCTGAGCACAGCGAGGGATGGCTAGGAGGAGGGTGATCCCCCGGTAGGAGCCGATGTGGCATTATTTGTGGACGTGGGATGCAGAGGGAGTGGTGTAGAGGGGAAGACAATGGGGAGGGACAATGGGGAACGGCGTCCTCTCACTGCTGGTCTCACGCTGCAGGACGCCGACCAAGCCAATGGGAACACGTGTTCAGGCACTAAGGATGGAAAAGCAGTTCCCAAACTCGCACTGGTCCAGCCCCGGGTTCGATTCTCTCAGGTGACAGACAAGCAAGGGAGAGGATGCTTTGCTGCTGGCGAGTGTGACGAGTCTGAACCAGAATAAAAATATGCTTTCCACAGAAGGAAAGGGGGGGGGGGGTGTTAAGATATTACTGTTTATTTCGTAAGAAAGAAGTTTTTGTAAGTGAAGGAGTAAGAGGGGTTACTAATGCTGTGTTCCACTCTAAAAGATGTTCTTTTTTTCAAATTCTGGCTTTTTAATGACCATAAACACCAGGGGAGGCTATTTGTGGGTATAAATTGAGTGTGAAATCACACGTTAATGAGAACCCCTCCTAACGCATTGTTCTTGAGCTAAGATGTCACCATCATTTACCAAAAGTATATCTCAGAGGCTGCACCCTTCCCACCAGCATTTCTCCATCTCGTCTGTCCTCAAAATCCTCCCTCTAATGGAGCCAACGTCTGCAGAGTCTTCTAAAGCAACTCCTCTCTGCACACCTCTGCATACTTCCCATTTTAACTGAAAATACGCCGTGGTCCCCTGGGACAATAGCGATCATACAAAATGAATGAGGCCTCACCAACACTGAGTTTCGAGGGTCAGGCACGCAAACATCAAAATGCATCGTGAGGCAAGTTGCTCTGTGGTTTTGTTTTTTGCAGGCTCATAGCCATGAACTACTTTCTGTGGTTGAAATAAAATGTAACATTTTAACTACTTTAAAGTGCACAGCTCTATGGTATTAATAAGTACGTTCACATTGTTGTGAGGCAAGTTGGCTTTTAAACATATCTCTTCCTTTTTTTTCCTCTCTGTAAAAATTCATGTTCAAATCATCTATGCTTCCTGTAGAAAAATTCATAAACTGGTACATGGTTAATGTTTTCATGTAGATTTCAATTCTTTTATAAGCATGCTGTAAAATGAGACTATAGCATATGGAATATCTATATATATAAAAGCCTAAGAGACTGTTCCACCAGTAGCTATGACACACACTGGCCACCAGGGGGCAAACGCTCAATGCACAGGCATGGAAACATGGAACAGACTGATGAATCTCAGAGGAAAGGAAGGGAAGGCAGAGATTAACCAAAGATCTTATATGCATACTAGAGGCCTGGTGCAGGGATTCATGCACTGGTGGGGTCCCTCAGCCTGGCATGCACCCTCTCACAATCTGGGACGCAGGGGTCTTCAAACTACGGCCCGCGGGCCACATGCGGCCTGCAGAGGAGTCTGATCCGGCCCGCCAGGTTTTTTGGGCAGTGAGCGCAGCCGAGGTGTTACAGTAGGAATTAGTAGTTCATATAGTCCGGCCCTCCAGCTCTCTGAGGGACCGTGATCTGGCCCCCACTTTAAAAAGTTTGAGGACGCCTGCCTTAGGGTTTCAGCCTGATCCCTGCAGGGACCAGTCCATCTTGCCCAGTCTTGATTGGGGCCGATCAGGGCCTAGGAGGGACCACGAGAGGGCTCCAGGGAGTGTCTGGCCTGTCTTGATTTGTGCACCAAGCTGGTTTTGGCCCGATCTCTACAGGCCTGGCAGAGGGACCCCACCAGGGCATGAATCTGGGCCTCTAGTATTACATAAGTGCTCTGCTCATTTGTTATGCTGTGATATTTTTCGTTTCATTAAATAAAGAACTACACCATCATATTTCACAGTGGCTCAGACGCCTCTGTACTCACACACCCAAGCAAACAGCTTATTAGTGATCACAATCCATGAAACAAACAGAAACGAACTACCCGGATGTAGAAAAGACGAGATCTACCCATTTTAACACAGCTTATTACAAAATACTGGGTGGAAATCTAAAAAATAATCATGAACACCATTTTGCTTTAATTAAGAAAAACTAATTGATATTTCAAATGTGATGAAACTGGAATTCGTAACAACATTTTTAAACAATCCAACAAGATTGCAAATTAAACCGCAAATTCCCTGAGGGCAAGGTTCCTTTTGTTTGATCACCTCGTACTGTGCCTACACAGAGCAGGTCTCAATGAAATAAACACAATGAAAGAACATATGATTAACGCTAGCCAAATGCAGAAAGGAACTGGTGTTGGCTAACTAACACCACATTTCCAAAAACAGCTGAAAGATACTCCACACCTAATAAAATGATTGGTTCCGGCCAGGATCACCAAAGGAGGCCAAAGTCCTTAGGGAAGTGAGTGAAGGACTGAACACCGCATGGTGCTAAGGTATAGATAGACCCACAGAGCGCATGCCCACCACTTAACTTTATGACGGAGCTTTCACACCTGAAGCCAGTGAACAACGGCAGGGCACCAAGTGTAAGGGCCTCCTGAAACCGGAAATACTTATTTCTTCAAAATCTAACGTGCCCTGCCCTGGCTGGTGTGGCTCAGTGGTTGAACATCAAAACCACGGTTCGATTCCCGGTCAGGGTACATGCCCGGGTTGTGGGCTTGAACCCCAATAGGGGGCATGCAGGAGGCAGCCGATCATTGATTCTCTCTCATCGTTGATGTTTCTATCTTTCTCTCCCTCTTCCTTCCTCTCTGAAATCAATAAAAATATCTATTTTTTAAAAAAACAACAACACTAAATTGTCCAGTTACACCTTTGAGAACATTAGTAAAAATCCTGTCGGAGAAATACATACTCTAACCAGATATAGATGTAGATGTTTATGTATAAATAAATCCTAACAACATCAATGTGAAAAAATTAAAAGCCTAATCAAGTTCATGATTACATAACTACAGCTCTGACTTAAGAGCAAGCTTTCTTTCCCTCGGGAAAGTGGTAGGGTTAGGTTTACAGAACACTTACACGATTTTTTCCCTTGGAGAACAATGAAAAGGCCTATTCGTTCAGAGCAAAGTACTCAACTTCCAAAAAGAGAAACAAACAAAAGAAAAGAAAAACACACACATAGTGAGGTTTGGAGGATTATAAACAAACAAGATTAATACTTTCATTAAAAACATATACAAATAAAACCAAAGCACTATTAAGAATCGGATTTGTCCAGCCCCGCCAGCATGGCTCAGTGACTGAGCACCAATCTATGGAACAGGAGGTCACAGTTTGATTCGGGGCCAGGGCACATACTCAATCCCCAGTGTGGGGCAAGTAGGAGGCAGATGATCAGTGATTCTCTCTCATCATCCATGTTTCTCTCTCTCTCTCTTACCTTCTCCTTCCTCTCTGAAATCAATAAAAATAGAAAATAATTTTTTAAAGAATTTTTTTAAAAAAGAATTTTTTAAAGAATTTTTTAAAGAGTGAAAACACTCTCTCACCTTTAGGAACTTTAAGACGAGACATAAATGCCTCTCTTTCCACTCAGGAATTCTGACTTCAGACGAGTTTTCCTCATTTACAGGGTTTCACCCACAGCCACAGAGAATTTCTGGGTCTTTAGCACAAAACACTTCACTTTAAAGTCTGGCTTGACTATTGCATTGCAAGTAAGCGAAGAAATACTTTGGAATAATCGGTTCATTCATTGTCGGAACAGAAAAAAAAAATCATCTAAAATGCTTTGCCAATTTGTCAGTAGGGAAACTTTCCTTTCTATTAAATTGG